CTACATTCCTTCACCCTTCCTCCTGCATAGCAAAATCACTGTTGTCTGTCAGACTACACTTAATTTCCTTGACAGGAAAGGAAAGAAGGAAAAAKATTTCCTTGAAGGAAAAAGATTCACTAAAAGACTAATTCTGAAGAGCAGAATGATGGAATCTAAGTTGCGTACCAGCCACATGTTTGATTTTCCAAAGTTATTGCTGCTTAGTTCATCTAAACTAAATTCTGAAAGGCCTTGAAGTGAGAGTCTATCTAAGATATTCATATTTTCTATGAAATGTCTTTATATTTAAAATTTAAAATAATAATTGTAATTTTTAAAAAGTAAATTTTAATTCTCGTAACTACAAAAAAAATATTTGTGGGTTCAAATTTCTGTGCTATTTTACATCTTTAAAAAAGAAAATGTAGGTTGAAATACTACACGGCTCTATCTGAAGGGCCAGGCCTAGCTGAAACAGGGTGGAATATGCACTGTATGTCAGGCTGTTTTTTCAATATTTTTGGAAACTCAGCAACCTACATATGTAATAAAGCCCAAACAATGACTGAATAAAGTGTGACAAATAGCTCAGAATTTGTTATGCTAACTGACATGACACCACAATGCAATTTTTTAAACTATGCCTGATGCAGCAACACTCTCAGAAGAACACATGCTGAACTATTTCACCACAAACAAGATTATACAGTKGAGGATCATGACAACACCAGTCAACATCAACAACAGTTTCCAATTTTATTAGATATWTATAGAATATTTTATGTTTCAGCTGCAGTTTTCTGTATGGAGAACACGATCTGGGCACATACATGCTTAGATGGACAAAGGGTTTGAGGTAACCTGGTACCCCTAGTAAAGTCTAACAGACACAAAAATTATTAACAGGGCTCTTGAGAAACTGGGATCTATCTAAAAAGTGAATTTCAATTTATATAATAAATCAGAGGTGCTACACATCTGCAGTGATTTGCACTGCTTTTGAGCAGTCATAATGAAAAGGTGATCATTATCTCCACCAATTTCTTTACAAAGATTYTCTCAAATCTAATTTTACCCAAACACAACATAGAAGGAAATAAAACTCTAGAACCAAGGAGCACACAAGCAAAACATGTTTCCAGAACACAAAAATCTTTTACCTGATTGCTTTCAAATCACCATCAGTTGACTTCCRATATTTTTCTCCACAATTAATTCTATTATCGTGCTTCAGAAAATCTGACAAAATTCAATAATTCAACTTTCATTCTAGCAATGATTCAATAATTAGATGCCAGCCACTTAAGAGTTGTGTGAAACTTGGCCGTTTCACTTTGCAGGAGTGCAAGCAAATATTTTATGGTGTCAATCCACCATTTTCAGTTTGTGTTGATTTTTGAAAAAGTTCAGACAGGCAAATGAATTAGCAGTCAAAATTTCTCCATTTTACTGGTTTCACTTCATGGCCATACAGATAAAAGGCATATCTTCATGAATCAATAATGGAACAAGTTAGATGTTCAAAATAAGAAGAAATACAAGAAAATATCTATAAGTGGCTAAGGTGATTTACACCCAAACCTCAAGATATGGAGGATGCTAACCCTCCCTAGCATCATTACTTCTTGTATTCTGTATTCTGTAAAGTGCTGCATGCATGTGCATTTGTGATGGTCCTAAATGAGAGTATATATAATTATTATACAATAATCATAATTATATATTTATAAATATATAAAGGCCCCAAATGAGAATAATAGTGGCAATAATTGGTTTTGTTTTAAATCCTGCCAGCATTTYACACTATCACAGGTAAATTTTCTCTCTACACTCTCCATCCACCCGCAAGTATCTCAGGATTGCAGCTCTTTGGATCATCACTGCTGTTGTCAGTGTACCCATTCTGCTCCTTATCTGGCAAAAACCATTACTGATGCAACAGAAATAATAGCAGGTGAAATTTGTTTTAAATAAGAGAGCTATTCCACTGAAGTAATAACCWTTGAAAAGGTCTGACTGTATTAACATTTCTGCTGAGAACATACTCATTGCACTCYTTTATGAAGGAGTTAAAAGAAGTCCCAAATTCAAGTAACTACAGGTATCACATGTRGGAAGCTGTGAGGTAGAGAAAAAAGGCCAAAGAGATGAAAGAAAAGGAGTAATGAAAAGGAGAAACGAGACACTGGTAAAATACTGGTAGAATAGGAAAGATARAACCATTTGAAAACTGAGATGCAGAAGATAAGGAAGATAACACAACTGAGGAAGATAACTTTAGAATAAATTTGAAGAACAAATGGATTACAGATGGACTGGAGGAGAGATGATCAGGCAGGGAAAAGAAAAGAGAGGGAGCATGGAGGTAACTAATTATGGACATCCTCAGAAAGCAAGTTAAAATTGCAGATGAAGATGAGAAAAGTTTAAGAAAGGATGGTATAAGATGGAAATACAAGACCAGAAGGCTATGTATTTGGAAATGGGATAAATAATACCAAAATTGTACAAGATAAAGGCAGAATTTCTATTTGAGAAATGTTATCAGCAGAGTATGAATAGGAAAGTTGTTAAAAACAATGGCAGGTACAGAGGTAAGACCTAAGGTGATTGGAAGAAGTAAGATCTTAAGAAAGGAATGGGAGTGAAAAGCAACAAATGAACAGATTTGGATGGAGACCTGGTTGCTACCCCTGCATGCAAGGTCATCTTACCAATCCACCACAGGTACTGAAGGAGGCGAAGGAGCCTGGGTAGCGCAGGACAGTACCACTGTAGTAACACGCTCTCTCAGGTAGCGACTGTGCAGCCCTGGGTGGACTTTTGCCCTCACCCCCAAGCCTCTCCTCCACAGCAAAGCCAGGAGCCAGGAAGCGGCTGTCCCTCTTGAGCAGCAGGTAGAGTTCCCGAGCAAAAGCTGGGATCCTCAGCAGCACTTCATCTCCATCCTCAGCTGGGGGTGGTGGGGGGGGAGATGGTGGRGGCAACTGAGAGGCAGCACCAGACCCCTGGGGCAGGGGGGACCAGTGGTAAAACTCCTGAGACTCATACTCATCCTCAGTGTCCTCTTCCTCTGCTGCCTCCCCTACAGCCTGGGCCTGCCCATCCACCGAGGAGGAGACTGAGCGCACCTCTCGGGAACTGCCAGCCACTGGGCCAGGTGTGACTGGGGCACTGAAAGTACTGCTTCGGTTCCCACTACTGGGGTCAGCGTTGCAACCCCCACCACCACCACTGCCACCAGCTGGCTCCTGCTGGCCTGGGCTCCACAGTGCAGGGAAGACGATCTCCCACTCCTCAGTCTCTTCTGAAGCATGAAGACCTGCGGGAAAGCCAGCAGATGCCTTAAATGAGTGGAGCACTGAACAGCATCCAGTAAAACCYACTCTATGCCCCCTACAAGATGGTCATTCTGACACCTAGACCAACAAGCATGCCACAAAAAACACAGTGGAATTCATTTGTCCCTTTTATCTGGTCCTTAAGCACAGCAGGGGGCCAGCKGCAAGATAGCTTTCTGCCTGCCGATGTGCCTGGAACACACCAGGGTCCTTGGTGATCACTGAGACAAAGCCAGAGCCCAAGCTGGGCAAAAGTTGTGTTTGTACCAGTAGCTGGGGATGTTCTTCCTTTTGATCACCACCTCCAGGCAAGGAAACTTGCATAAACCCTTCAATATGTAGACAAAGTAACAACTTTTTTATAGCCAAAAAAATTGCTGAGGAAAGCCTGAACAAATTTGAACGTTTCAACCCTCTTCTCAGCATGTTTTGCAAGTAGCCAAATATACACACACACCATCAAAGCKGCACATACAAGTGGCAGTTGCATGCACATGCTGTATCATGATMATTCGTATAATGAAACTGAATTAGAATCACTAATTAGTGATGTCCGCACATCACACACGCACACACTACAGCACAATATAACCAAAATTCCAGCATGCCAACATCATGTTTATAAACATCTGAGTACACACAACCTCCACTAGCCTGAGACAGGAAACAGTTTTATTTACCCATTCATCTCACACTCTAGGAACAGCACAGCCGGGAAAGGTGATAGGGCTGCCAGTGGAAACTGGGTCTCGTATAGCCGAAGCTGCTCAGTGCACCGCTGCAGCCGAGGCGCACATTATCTGATCACCCATCGCTTACGGGGGGCGGGCGCGGTTAACAATGGCCAGGTACCGCCACCGGCATCCGGCGGGGCGCGGAGGCCGCCCCGGGCTCGGCCCGTCCCGTCCTGTCCCGCGAAAGGCGCGCACTTACCTGCGCCGAGCCCGCTTGACAGCACGCACAGCTGGTAGAACACGCAACAGACGCGGCTCAGGCGCATCCTCCCGCCCAGCGCCATCGGCTCCGCGCCCGCGGGACGCCGGCTGGCAAGACACGCAGGGCCGTGCCGAGTCGTGCCGTGCCGGGCCGGGCGGGGAGCGCCGCGGGGCGCAGACACCTGGGCGCCCGCGGGGAAGCTCCGGGAGAGCGCGACTGGCGCGTCCCGGCGGGGCGGGCAGGCAGCACCGGCGGCGCGGGATGCGCGGCGGGCGGGCGGGAG